AGAAGAAGACGGGGTCAGGGACCTCCACCCCTGAAAGGACCACACTGGCATGTTCGCCGCGCTTCTTCTCTGCCCTGCCATCACTTTGGGCTCGGCGGGCTGCAGCTGCTGCTGAAGCTTTAGATGAAACGATGGTATCCCCTGTGACTGTCTTAAGCGAAATTGGAAAACAAACCTTTTTGATTGGAAAATCTTTAAAATAGCAAATAAGGAATGTGATGCGTGACGCTGTACCTGCTTCAGTCCAACAGTCAGAGCGATGTTCCCCGCTGTCATTGAGGGAATTTCTACATGCTGGTCAGCAAACGGCACCAGCAGCCTGCTCATCCTCTCACTACACACAATATGATAGAGTAAGTTTCAACATATACAAATGGTTTTGGTCAAAACTGATTGGTAGGGCAGAGGTCGATCAGGGTTGCATAGATGTAATGGAAACTATGTACATGCTGTTCCTGTTGATGTTGTGGACAGCAGTCTGAGGTTTCAGAGTTCCAGAGTAAATCCTAAGAAACACCATTGGACCACGCTGCTTGTCGTGGAGAACCTTGAAGGCCAGAGCACACAAGTCATCCTTATACCACCGCCTGTAGGATGATGAACATGAGGTTAAGGTCGGATAACAATGAACAAATGTACATAGAAACATATTTTTATAAAGGCATTGCATATTCATCAAAAAATAATTCTAGCATGATTGTAATTTTTGCTTATTTCTTTCCATCTTGCATCCATTTCAAATGAATTGCAACAGTCTACTTGTGTGCGTCTCAGTAGAAGATATTTATAAATCAGTTTTGAACAACTCCTCAGGCTCTTTCAGAGCCATTAAATTCCATGTGACAGGGGAAAGTTGTTTAACGATCACCAATGTCATCCTATTAAACCCCCCCCCCCAGCATTGCTAATGAGACAGACATGTGTCTTAATCTCCTATCACTGCTTCTTTGATGTTTGTATTTTCCTCTCCAAATAATTTTTTTTTTTTTAAATACTGACATTCTCTGTGGCAAACTTCATCTCCCAACCCAGTCAATAGACAAACAAAGTTTATTTCCTCTGCAGCAGTCTGGAAAAATCTAATTGAAGCAGAAAATAAAGCCTGCACAAAGAAGAAAATGGCAAAGAATAATATGCTAAAAGCACTGAAAAAAACTTATTAGAATACGGAGCCTGGCCCAAAAACTCCATTCATGCGTCTTAACTCAGTGTGAGAACAGTTCTGGTCTGAATTAGTTTTAGGTTAAAGAATTCACTCACACCAGGTCGTGGTGCCGTTCGTTGGGGGCAGGCAGGTAGGCGGTGATGGCATCTAAAAGAGGCTGAACACCTTTGTTTTTCAAAGAACTCCCACAGAGTACCGGGACGCCTTTACGGGCCAGAGTCACCCGCCGCACAGCCTCCTGTAGCTGAGGACACATTAGCACTGTTTAATCTGTATTCACAAGGCACAATGCTACTCTATAGGGGTATATTGTAGTTCCATGCAATGCAGCACTTACTTTGATGGAGGGAACAGCATCAAAACTTTCACTAAAATCAGTCAGCAGTAATTCAGCAAACTCATCATCGAGATCAGCAACCTGTGATTGAGAATAGAAATATATACTGGAGAACACATCTTGGACATATTAACATTTCAACATTAAAAACTGTCAATGTTGCTGTAAATGTTATGACATGTACCTGCTCAATTAAAGCTGTCCTGGCCTCATTGACCTCCTGCAGGAGTTCTGGCCCATCAGATTGGTCAAGAGGTTTGCTTTCAAACATTCTTCCATCATCTCCCATAGATCTTAGCTTCCATATTATCTTCTGGTTGGTTAACAAGTCAACCACACCGGAGAAGTTTTTGCCACTGCCGACAGGAATCTATGAAACAGGATGGCTCTCCATGAGACAACTAAATGAAGTGATGACATACTCCCATTAGGCGTTTAGGTTTACTTTCTTTGTGTAGTTAGTTTTACGATTGAGTCATTACAAATTATACAGTAATAAAAATACATTTTGATTTCTTGGCTTGTTATTAATAAGCCTGATCTGTGCAAACCTCTTTTTAGTATACTAATAATCAGAGCTTTATTTACCCCTATGCCTATTCCTAGCACAAGTTCATGTTATTTTATTGTCACATGCACAACAATTACAGTGAAGCGGCAATTAAATTCACTCACTGAACAATATGTAAAAAAAGAAAATCGCACAAGTAAAAAAGAGATTCTAAGACATAAGACATAAAATAGTGCAGAAGTTAAAAGATAGTGTATTTAAAAAAAAAAAAAAAAAAAAATATATATATATATATATATATATATATATATATATATATAATATGGTAGGCAGGTGTACAGTAATGATAAAATGAATAAATCCTAATACAGACAGCTGAAGAACAATGATTGCTACTTATTTCAGTATACCTGCAAGAGGACTGGATTGGCTTTCAACTTCTGTTTTATGCTCTCAATGGAAAAGCGTACACTGAAAAAAATTAACACAGTTTCTAGTTAATTTTGGAAAAACAAGAAAAAAACATGTATATGGTCAAACTGTTTATTCACTGACTTTGCTGCAGGCTTATCCATCTTATTCAGGAAACAAACGCAGGGAACATGGTGCTTCTCTGCTTGTCTCCACACGGTCAGAGTCTGGGCCTGTTGGTGTTTTCAAGGCAACAGATGCGACTGTGTTCAGAGTGTACCCAGTTATGTAACACAACAACATTTTAAATGCAAAAAGCAGTGGGCTAACCTCAACACCGGCAGAAGCATCAAACACAGCGACAGCCCCGTCAAGAACACGAAGTGCCCGCTCTACTTCGAGAGTGAAGTCAACATGTCCTGTAAACACACACACTCAGTGAGTCGCTGCTCCTTCTCATTTTCATTGTAATGTTTTCTTCCTGCATGGATGCTATTTCTACCTGGGGTGTCTATAAGGTTTATTCTATGACTTTTCCAATCAAACGTGACCGCTGCCGACTGTATGGTGATGCCGCGCTCCCTCTCTTGAGCCATAAAATCTGTGACTGTATCCCCATCGTCCACATCTGAAAGCAACCAATTAACAGAAATAAATGAAAGAGACAGAAACAAACAGGTAATGCATGGGTAAGAAAGAATTAACTATGTCCTAGGGCTGGGCAGGGCAATAAAACAATAATTATAATTATCGCAATATAATTTTCCCCCAAAACAATATGACAACTGTTTTGAATGTTCTATCTCAGACCTGTTTGTCATGTTCTGACTATAAAGAATCGGGTTTCTTCAACTTTCACTCAGGAGCAAAATTCAACCTTTAAACTTGAAAGAAATTATTTGAACTTTATCATGATAATTATCGATATCGAATGATCTGTAATTTTTTATTGTGATAACATTTTTGCCCATATAGCCCAGCCCTACTATGTCCACATCTTGTTTTAACCATCCTACACACCTCCTAGTGCTCTTGTATAGCCAGAGTAATAAAGCATCCTTTCTGTGGTTGTTGTCTTTCCTGCATCAATGTGGGCCATAATGCCGATGTTTCGGATCCTGCAGACACAGTGCACGGGTTATCACAGAGCCAAGAACACAGCTGTGTCTAAAGAGCATTTCACCTGACTGCAGAATACAATTACTTACTTGGATATATCAGGGTTGACCACAGCCCGCAATGATTTGACATCATCTATGACAGAGAACATACAGTATAACAATGATGATCTGACTGAATCGGTGATTCTAAGTGTAAGTTTCTATGACTGACTATGCTATACATAATATAACTGACTAAAGGACTTATAATTTAGTCAATACAATATACAAAATAATAACTAATGCACATCACAAGGTATAGAAATTCAATGTGAATGCAGTTCAGAAACCCCCGAAAAATATATATGTTGAGTTTCAGATTTCATTCTTGACCTTGCAAACCACCTTGCCATTAACAAAACAAATTCCATTTAGTTCATATCATATTATCTTCATCAGCAGATATTTATCTGATGACTTGATTTCTCGTAAGTGCTCAGAAAAAAAAGTGGTGAGTGCTTTTTCAACAAAAGAATTTTTAATAATTATGTAAGACTCCATAAAACATCTGTAAAACTTCAACCTTCTTAAACTTCAAACTTCTTACCTGATAAATAATTATAATTGATAAATAAATAAATAAATAATTCCAGTAAATTTAGTAAATATATATATATATATATATATATGCTTCACGAATTAACCAACGTCAGCACTGGTTAATCCTGGGTCTAGTTAGAAAACAACTTACCTGGAAGAAAGCTGTGATGTCTTTTTACCTGACAGCTCACTCTACATCTGCAGCATTGGAGCCCAGCTGTTAATAAATACCTTCCCTGTGAATGACAACGATCCTCCTATGAAGTCAGTCAACATGATTTGAACATAATACATCACTGACAGCCCTTAGCTTCACAAATTATATCTTACCCAAATCATCCTGCTTAATGTCGGAAAGGCTCTAACACGCATCTTTAGTGTCTGCTTATCTTCCAAGCCTTTTCCTCAGAATCATTTTGACATTTAGACCAACCTTTGAGGAGCAACACTGCGGTCAAAAGACTAACGTTAGAAGAGCAATGTCAGCCCACTTGTAACTGCTACACCATAACAATACAAAGGAGGGAGATTTATAGCTATAACCAGCAGATGAATACTAAGTTTATCCCATACTAAAGGCTTAAAAGTCCTACAAAACTCATATACAGCTGTCTAATGTCACGCTTTCTTAAGGCACAGCTCCAAAATACATCCCTAGGAACAAGCGTGTGGTTCATGATTCCGGGTACGAAAACAAAATTGGTTGCGTAAATATTAACAATTGTAAAATTGTTTAACATACGTACATACAGTTATACATATTTTTCTTAACAATATTTATTAATAAATGTATTTTTGTCTATAAAACGGTTACGATTCACGGTAAACTGTTCTTAATCCGAAGCCGTTCATTTTAAACCAACGGACAACCGGTTACGTTAGGATGACGTACTTCCTCTAAGTATCGGCTTTGGGGAAAACAACATCTAAAGGACCCCAGCCTCACAGCAAAACACCAAATATTCTGCGTTTTTTTCAACTGGTACCGCCTGTGACATATTCACTGAAACACCTAACTCCTTACACTCAAAATGGTAAGAAAGCAACCGTTTCTAATTGTATTTTTTTACTTTTACCAGGCCGTTTAACGGGTTAGCATATTGTGCTAGCATTAGCTTTAGTTCACATGTGGCAGGGTGACGGGCTGGTGTGGAAAGTGTTTATATTGAAACCAGCGGGCCTCCACTGACTGAGATTTAAATAAAATGTGTATGAGCATGAACGATTTTTCTGAAAATTCGTGTACTACTTGTTTACTTGTACGTTACTTACCTAACGTCAAAAGGTCAAAACCTTTTAGTTTAACATTCGTGTGAATAGCCATTAACGTTAGGTTTTATGCAGTGTAGATTTCATTTATGTGCCCAATCTAGTTATCAAATAGTAATTCGCTATCTATCTGGATTGGTTTGGAGGCGTTTCTGGCATTCGTGTTACCATACGATTAAACGAGAGATTGATAGATTCGGATTGCAATTAACCATGATTTTCATTATTGAGAAATCTGCCAAATCATGATTTCTCAGAGCCCAAAGTGACGTCTTTAAATTGCTTGATTGCTCATCAACAATCCCAGAAGCATAGCATAGATATAAAACAGAGGTAACCATCAGATTATTATCAGTTTATTTCTGTTTACCTTTTTTATGATTATTGTATTGTATATTGACTGTTTATTGTCTGCTATGTAGCAGAAGGGAGTTGCAAATGGAATTTCATTTTACAACCCTATCATAAAATGACAATTAAATTATCTTGAATCCTTGACTTCTTGAATTTGTCACATTTGAGAAGCCTGAACCAGAGAATGTTTGGCATATTTGCTTGAAAAATGACAAACGATGTAGATTGGTTGTCAAAGACCTTTAGTTATGTGCCTGTTTAAATAATGAAAGCTTCTAAAAATGTATGCAACATGTAATCCAGAGGTTAAATGTAAAATTTGCAAACACAGCTTTACTCCATGTCAGTTTCTCAAATTTCCACCATTAGCAGGCTCTAATGTCTGCCCACATTAAAGCATCTATACTGTATGCGGCATCCTAATTGCTAATTTTTACTTGGAACTATAAACTGTAGATTTCTGTACCAAACCAAACCTGTGCATTTATCAGTCTTCGTAATCAAGTTCATTAAATGTTTTCTTTTTCTCTCGTAGCCCCAGAACGAGCACATTGAGTTACACCGCAAGCGGCATGGCTACCGTTTGGACCACCATGAAAGGAAAAGGAAGAAGGAGAGCCGTGAGGTCCATGAGCGGTCTCAAAAAGCCAGGAAGTTAATTGGTTTGAAGGCCAAACTGTACCACAAACAGAGACATGCAGAGAAGATCCAGATGAAGAAGACGTGAGTATAAACAGAGGAACAACTGGGGTTGTCTTTATAAATGCTGGCTGCTTTAATAAACAAGCCATGAAAACTATGCCAAATACAAAACATTCACAACCTTTTACATGCACACACCCCTGGTTGATCTCTGAGGTCTTCATGCCAACATTTTTTTAACCATTCCCAAAACACGTCTTAAAACATTTTAAAAAACATGTTCGGCCACCGAAATTAATTGCTGGTGTTTGGCCTAATACGTCTAAAGACGAAATAAATTTTACCGAACAATTGCGTTGACATGTCGGCAGTGTGCAATCATTTTAAAGTGTCCGAGAAAGACGCAAAAATTGCCGTTTGCAGAAACTGGTCTGCTGAATTGTCTCCTAGCACATCCACATTATCTGTGGCTGACTTCTTAGAAAAGGCTTAGAAAACGTTCTAACCTGCTTTGAGTGTTTTGGTCACTCGTTTCTGAGAATGAAATCCACTGAAACGGACCAGTGCGAGCTGACAGGCAGGTTAGCGATTCTATCCTGTCATTTTCTGTCTTTACAAAGACTAGTGTTGCAGTATGAGAGTCCTGCCTGAAGAGAGGCTGTGAAGTCTTCATGTTACGCGATACGAGAACCACATACAAATTTTTTTTTTTTATCAAATTGGGTCAGACTTGATGAATTTAGCGTGAGGATACACACATGGCAACGGCTGGGTTTAAAAATAAGGTGTCTATACGGTATGGAAATAAGATTAATTGTATTATATTCACAGAAAGTATAAAACATATTACATGTGTACATTAAAAGCAAATGGACACATGTAATTTACTTTTAATTTCAGTGCATCCCTATTTTTAAACAAGCTTTTAATTTAGCAATGTGCTCTTGCTGTCTTCTAATTTTGTGGTATTGTGACCTTTTACATGCAGTTGTCATTTTGTTCTTTTATTTGCTGTAAAGCACTTTGTGACCCCATATGTCTGTGAAATGTGCTATATTAATAAACTTCACTTACTTACTTAAATGAACTGCCAGACAATTCTGACTTGTATCTTTGCAGCATCAAAATGCATGAACAGAGGAAGACCAAGCAGAAGGATGATGACAAGACCCCATCGGGAGCAGTGCCAGCCTACCTGTTGGACAGAGAGGGACAGTCCCGTGCTAAGGTCCTCTCCAACATGATCAAACAGAAGAGGAAAGAGAAGGCTGTAAGTATCAGCTGAAATCTGCTCACCATTTTCCGCTGGTTGTCTCATAACATGCCACAGTAAATATTTCTTGCTTTTATGTAAACCGTCTGATGAATGTGTAATGTTTTCTGTAGGGTAAATGGGAGGTTCCACTGCCAAAGGTACGTGCCCAGGGAGAGACCGAAGTGCTTAAAGTCATCAAAACTGGAAAGAGACAAAAGAAAGCCTGGAAGAGAATGGTCACCAAAGTTTGCTTTGTCGGCGACGGATTCACCCGTAAACCTCCAAAATATGAGCGTTTCATCAGACCCATGGTAAGTTCACAGTATAGTTTGACTTGAAATATTTTGTCGTGTTAATTCTTCACTAATCTGTAACAATGTTTCTACACATGCCTTTAGGATTAATGTTCAGGTTAAATTGTGCATTTCTGTTTTAAGTGCCTACTCCTCCTAAATGACCTCCCTCTCTTTATTCTACTTCAGGGTTTGCGGTTTAAGAAGGCTCATGTCACACATCCAGAGCTGAAGGCCACATTCTGCCTACCCATCCTCGGAGTGAAGAAGAACCCGTCCTCGCCCCTCTACACTTCTCTAGGAGTCATCACAAAAGGAACAGTCATAGAGGTCAATGTCAGCGAGCTGGGCCTGGTCACACAAGGAGGAAAGGTTATCTGGGGTGAGTGCTTAATTTTGTGTGAATCCATAAGTCCATTGGACAGTGTAATCACACACTCAGTAACAGTAATGTGTTTATTACCTACTTTTGGAAATATGTCAGAAACATGTTTAAACAATAAATCCAGCTTCCATTTTCAGTTTAGAGGCTTAATAACTTGATAAACATGTGAGATATTGCCATAAAAACCTAGCAAATTTGATCCATAGCTTTGTACAAATGCATGTGCAAGACACCTGATGTTGTAAACAACATGAGATGTTGTAACAAAGAAATTTCTTTTACTTCCCAGGTAAATACGCCCAGGTGACAAATAACCCAGAGAACGATGGCTGCATCAATGCAGTCCTGCTGGTATAAGACTCTTGACCTTTATACAGACTGTGCCTGGTAACTCTAAATTTAAACAAGGAGTGTTGATTACAACCAAGAACACAAAGATGCAACAAGCAATGGGCTTCAAATCACGGGACTGTCAGGAAGATCGCTGATGCTGCACTTGGCAACACGACAGTTTTTCTAACAGGAGGATGCTCAAAGGAAAATAAAATAGGGTGATTAATGAGTTAAAGTTCATATAAATAAACATGATATGACACAAGATACGTTTCACTTTCTTTTCCACATATTCCACATAATAAGTGAATATTTAAGCAGTTAAGCTACTTATCTGCCTCAGCAACACAGACCCGTGCTGATATCCTGTTGGTCCAGAGATGTTTAATAAAGGAGGCTAAGAAACAGAGCTCATTGTGAATAACAAGCGAGGTGTGATCCTACCAACGGGATTAAGCTGTTCCATGAAATCACCTCATAGCTAATGTAATCAGATTAATTCCTGCATGGTTTGAAAATGTCAGTTCATTAATGTTTATGAAGAGGGACACAACACAGAAACGGAACAACACATTCAATATAACATGAAAAATGAAATGGCAACAAAGGACACAACAAAAATTGTACAATAAAATGACCCTGCAATAAATGTGATCATATATTTTGTAGTTTGTTACCAGCACCTCAGGTAGTAGATGCAAACTGTATAATTTTAACACATCTTACAGAGGCACGGTATCACTAAAATATTCCACTTTAGGTAGCAGTCTCCTTATATTCAAAAGTAGTGGACTGATTTCATTGCAGTAATCTGAAGTAATACCTGGGCAGATGTGACCTATTGGGTGACATAAGATGAACAACAGCTCTAGTTGAGATGTTTCTGGATTAAAGTAAAGTATTACGTTCATTAAACATGGTGTATGCTCTTTCCCTCTGCTGAGCATATAGTTTTCCCTAATATCTTCTGGCCAGATCTGAGCTATAAAACTACAGGGTGGTCAATGGAAACACAGTACATCAATATTTATCAGTATAACTGTAATCTATTATTTTCATAGAAAATGTCAGCCCAAAAGGGAGTCAAACAGCACTTAACTACCAAGCTTTACGTGTCATTGTTTGAGGGAGAATATGGCAGGAAGCAGCTTACAATTGAATAGCTTCTAAAAGCACAAGGCATCTGGAGCAGAAGGATCTATCTTGGAGGGCTGCAGATTTCTGCAGGTCATCGATGGATCAAAACCAAACAGACTATAGATTTGCAAAACAGGCCTCAGACCTGGTGCCAAGCTGAGCACCAATCTGGGGATTCTGTGTGGAAAGTCTGGCATCATTTATCTGGCCATAAACAACAATCATTTATCCAACAACACAGTGAGTGTAATGCAAAATAAACTAGTATAGCTATAAAATGTAGTGACTGTCTATTAGTGTAAACTATGTGATTTTATAATTTGGAATGTATGTATTACAATGTGAGAGCTTTATAGATAGACGTGCAAAAACAATATGCATTAACAACAGCATTTAGCCCAGAGCTGCACTTTGCACAGTAGTGTTTTGCAAGCTATTTGATTATTGTGTCACTCCTATTTCACGCCAAATGTCATAGAGAAAAGAGGAGAGCCACATCTGAATGATTGCAGTTCAAAGTGAAGATAAATGTTTGTGAAATAAAAAAAGTTTGGTATTTTACATGAGACACTAACACAAGCACATGAACACAGTATTTCTCAGACTGGTGAGAAGCGTGCATTAAAAAACAGTGACACTAAGAAAATCTCATTTTATTTGTGATTTGTTTGTCTGGTGTGTTTACAGTAGAGAAGCTCGCCAGTGTTTGCTCTCCTTTCACACCAACAATGTTCTTTCACAGTCCACTAAAAGCCCCTTCACCTACAGGTAACTGAGCAATTGTAAAGAAAAATTTGTGACTTTTTTTCTCTCTTTTTTTTGTGGTTTCAAAACCTGACGACAAACGTGTCGGATTTTGAGAACCTAAGGGAACATTTCCTTCCACAATATGAAAAGGACAGACTTAACACTTCCTCCTCTTTAAAAACAAAGTTACAGAGTATTGTGTTTTGAAAAAAAGATTTTTTTGCTACATTTTAAATCAAACTAATTGGATAATCAACATTTAGTATTCCGAACTGTCTGCATTTTAAGAATTAAAAAAGAAATGTGTGTTGCAAGTTCATACACAAGTGTCCAAATGTAGCTGTTCAAAAACTCTTAAGGCAAAATAACATCTGGAAATGTTTCACTATGGACACATCCATATCAGTTACAGTGTATATTACATTAAACAAAATCTGTTTGTAATGACCATATTAACCAAATGAGATATTAAAACTGTGTGGCTGCACTGTATAAAAACAGCTTTCTAATGTTGATTATGATATGATACATATAAACAGAATTTTCTGCATTACGTATTTGAATAGTGAGCCCTGCAGACGACCCTGCCCTGCCCACCATGGCCAACTTTAGAGTATAAACTGATATGGTGGATATGGACACAAGCGTACAAATTATATATATGTATATGGAGTACACATAAAAAAAAAAAGAAGTGCACAATAGTGACATGCCATAGTTTCACTGACAGACGCCCTGTTGGTCATCAAAAAGAACAAAACCGTCCTTGAGACTCATTGTGGTGTGACAAGAAGGCAGAGATCAAACCCTTAACTTAATCAGTTACAAAGGATAGCATTTCCATCTTATTATTTTTTCATTCAACTGGCACTGTGCTCTTTCATCAGCCTCTTCAGTTGGTGTAAGCGAGATGCGACATTAGAGAAAGCCTGCTGAAATCGTTCATGTGGCCAAGGGCTCAGACACAGAAACCTCCGCAGAGACCTCTTCAGAGTTCTATCAGCTTGGCTTCCTCTCAGTCATTTGGCCGAGAGCATTTTCCTTTAAAAAGTGCACACAGTGATTGAACGTTGTGTCCATCAGATGTTGACATTATGTGTAGTAGTCCAGTTTGCTCTGTATCGTCTTGCAGCCTTTGACAGAGAAAACTCTCTCAGATTTGGGGAAATAGACTAAGTCTCTGGCCACCAGGTCGGCCACTTCCTGGTTTGGCCGAAGCCCTCTGGCTTTCATCTCAGCCAAGGCGCACTGGACGACGTGCCGGTACTCTAGAGGCAGAAAAGGGACGAAGAAGTCCACCAGGTTCTTGTCAATCAGACTTGCATGCCGCAAGCCACCTACAGGAGGAGATACAGATATTTCAAGTCATATCTGGTATCTGAATGACACAGACTCCAACGTATACGGCAACACAAAGAATTCATTTAATTCATACTCACTGTTCTTGCTGTTGAACACCGATACAGAGAGCACCGTTTCCAGGTCTTTTAGCTCTATTTCTTCTCGAATTTGTCCTGCTTTCCAGAAATCTAACGCCGTCTGTACAATGTTCTCACCTCCAGCATTGCTAGAAAAATCAGAAACGCCTGGTGTTACTACTATTTACATTTATCAACAACCAATTCAACACATACAAATATACTAATTCTTCTTTTTCGAACTTGTTATTAATCAGAATCAGTTTTATTGCCAGGTATGTGTACACATACAAGGAATCTGACTCAGGATTGTACATTGCTCACGATGTGCTTACTTATACAATAATACAATAATAAAATAATAATAAAATCAGACACAAACTACAGAGTAGACAACACTAATATACACAGTATGAACAAAACAATATAGACATATTGACAAATAGTGCAGTGATCAGAGTAAACTATTCTCATTATGTACATGTTGAAGGTGGATATGATATACAAGTACACATACATGTACACATGTACACAGTGTGATGGAGCATAGTGCAAAGGATGCTGGAAATAAATAAATAAGACCTATGACCTTATGACCTGAGGTAGGTGTATTGGTATACAGTATATACAATATGACATAGCATGAACAGCACTGAAATAGAGAATGGTGAATAAATAAATAATAAGTGGAAACTAGTAAACAGGTGCTGATTAGAGACAGAGTTACTGGGTTATTGCACAGGAATTGTTCCTGACACTGTGAGTCAGAAATCAGCTGTTCATCAGAGTGATGGCTTGTGGGAAGAAACTGTTCCTGAGTCTGTTGGTTTTGGCGTACAGTGCTCTGTAGCGCCTACCAGAGGAGAGGAACTGGAACAGGTTGTGTCCGAGGTGAAATGGATCTGCAGTGATGTTTCCTGCTCGTTTCCTGACTCTGGAAATGTATAACTCAGTGGCAGTGGGGAGAGCACACACCCCTGGGGGGCGCCAGTGCTGATAGTCCGGGTGTTGTATGGGATGTTTCCCAGCCTCACCTGCTGACTCAGGTCAGTCAGGAAGTCTGTGATCCACTGACAGGTGGAGGCTGGCACAGTGAGCTGGGTGGGTTTGGTGCTGAGGATGTCCGGGATGATGGTGTTGAACGCCGAGCTGATGTCCACAAACAGGATCCTAGCATATGTCTCTGGAGAGTCGAGGTGTTGCAGGATGTGATGCAGACCCAAGTTGACTGCATCATTCACTGACCTGTTAGCCCTGTAGGCAAACTGCAGGGGGTCCAGCAGGGGGCCTGTAATGTCCTTCAGGTGGGCCAACACCAGTCTTTCAAAGGACTTCATGACTACAGATGTCAGGGCGACAGGTCTGTAGTCATTTAGTCCAGAGATGGAGGGTTTTTTTGGGACCGGGATGACTGGAGCGTTTGAAGCAGGAGGGAACTTCACACAGCTCTAGTGATTTGTTGAAGATCTGAGTGAAGATGGGGGCCAGCTGGTCCGCACAGATTTTCAGGCACGATGGTGACACACCGTCAGGTCCAGGAGCCTTCCTGATCTTCTGCTTTTGGAAGAGGTGGCTCACGTCCTCTTCACAGATCTTGAGTGCAGAGGGGAAAGGTGACTGTTTGAAGATGGCGTTGGAGTGGGGGAGAGGTGTGACTCTGGGCTTTTCAAAGCTACAGTGGAAACCATTCAGCTCGTCTGCCAGTCGTTGCGTACCAGCAGTGTTGGGGATGGTCTCTTGTAGTTTGTGAGTGCCTGTAGGCTTCTCCACACTGACGCAGGGTCGTTGGCTGCAAAGCTGTTATTTAGCTTTTCAGCGTAGCACCTCTTTGCAGCTTTTCACAGATTATTAGAATTAATAAATTGCTGGTATTTTCTTAAAGAAATATTGAAAGTGAAGGTTGAACTATATAAGCAGGACAGAGCATATTGCAACCAAATATATCTCAAACACTGCAAACTGGTTCAAAAATGTTCTACAATGAATGCATCAGTTTTTTTTCATTATTGTTAAATGCAACTTCTAAAAAAACCATCTCCTCAAACTGAGCACATAGTATCACTACCATTGTAAAAAGTCTGCTAGAGTTACATTAAACATCACCAAGTTTAGCATTATGTTCTTGCGCATACATTTTGTTGTTTAAGTGAAAGAAAATTTAGTAAATGCTCAGTTTAAATGTCCGTAAAGGAGATGAACATTAATACAGCAGCAAATTTTTAGGAATCCTGTGACAGGGATTCTTGTGAGATTCCCGCAGGATGGGAGTCAATTTCACCATTCATCACGGGATGGGGAAAGGATGGGACGGGACTCATTCTTTTGAGATTGGGACGGGAGTAGTTTTGTGGGAGCAGGATGGGACAGGAGTGAAGCTATGTAAATATGTAGTGGAGTAATGACATCACATCCCCTCTGTGGTTGTTGTTATCTGAGCTTCTCTGTTCTTTGTTTCTGGAGTTGGTCCAGCCTCACGTGGATGCTGGTGCAAACGAGTCTGTTAGCTTTAAGGAGAGCAATACAACGGCTGTTTCTTTTCCCATCTAAAGCTGTGAATCAAGTGTTTATTTAGACTAAACCGGAGTTGGTCGATTCTATCTAGTTTTAATGACGTCTGTTTTATGATGACCTGCGAGGAAAAATTACTGTTTTTCTCAATGGAGTCTGGTGGGCTGGAGCACTCATTTGTTTTTGACTGAGATACTAGTTCTCTAGTGCGACATTTAGTAGCAGTGAATGTGGCATACAGCTCCTCCAATTTCATACCTCCAATTGACCTTTCTTAATGCATTATTACAATACAACTATTCTAAGCCATTTTTTTCCCTTCTTCTTTTCAGTACATGCTATTAATGTCATACTACAAACAAGTGACACTTCTGTTCCCTGGATTGATATCTTTCCGTGGTTCAAATGAAAAACTTTGACTTGCAGACTTAGGGAATTCCTTCAGCTATTTACCTGAGAAAGATGAAGATGGATTTCCGATATGAAACTCCATCCAGCTTTTCATAGTAGTCCAGGTACGGCTTTATGCTGTCAATCAATCCAGGATGCATCTTGTCCATCTCATCAAAGATGAACATGGAGCGTTCACAGTTGGTGACATTGCCTTTGATCCACTGTTGTAACTGAGACTGAGGAGAAAAAGCAGCACATTAAATTCATACAGTAGATCAAACAGAACAAAGTCACTGTGTTTCATTTCAAGAAATTGGTTTCTACACATTTTTGTCATCATACCTTGTACGTATCCAATTGACCCACATGTGGGAAGTGAAGCTCCGCTGTGAAAACATGAACAAAGCTGCTGTCCATTCCCTCCTTGTAAATGTTTTCAGCAATCAGGTTACTAACAAAGTTCTTCCCTGTGCCGGTCCATCCGTGCAGAGAGAGCACCAGGGGCTTCTTCGGGTTGTCGTTGCTCATGAATCCACTCACAGCTTTCAGGATGATGCGTGACGCAATGTGCTGTCCGAACAGTTTCCTTTCCAGGTCAGCCTGGAGACCTGGAGAGTGCACAGCGGAAAGTCAACAGGACTAGTGGCTGCAAACACCTGAGTGAAACACCTTTCCAATACCTCCCTCAGGAAATTTTTAGCTGAGTTGGTCAGCCACCAAAATCTTGTTTCATCTCGTGTCATGATCCATTTTGTTATTAGGTGATAACTTAAACAAGAGCCAGTCATTAAATGTATCAAATTAAACTTAATTTGTATAGTGAAAGTGTATCAAAGATACTCGCTGATAATAAGACGTTACACATATATAATAACAGGAATGGTATTGGACTGATGCACACAAACAGAAATGCCACACATTGAAAGAAGAATATGATTAAATGAAGTTGCCGGGCATAAACATTCAAATCAAAAGGCTGAAGAGGTAAGTTTTAAGTTTATGTTTAAACACACCAACACTTTAATCTGCTCTCAGCTCTGAATTTGGGAATCAATCAAGGCTCATCTTATCTCATCCCCAGACAACTAAGAGTCTTGCCAGTGCACCCAAGGGTCTGTCCTGGTTCATACATTGCAAGCTGTCAGCCAAAACAGGCTGGTGCAAGACCACGTAGGTCTCTGCTGTTTGAAATTTGCACATTTTCTCAAGTTTCAGGTTTTATTACATAAAAAAGGATTAATTTTAAGTGCTGAAATATGATTCTGCAAATGGATTAGTCAAGATGAACCTGCAACTATTTTGATTGTGATTTTTTAAAGAGCAATATTCAAAACACTGCCTAATTCCAGATTCTCAATTGAGATGATTTTCTGCACTTTTTGTTTTATGTGACAGTAAACTAAATATCTTTAGGAAATTAACAAAACAAGCAAGGAAGACGTTGCCTCTGGCTTTAGGGAAGCGTGGTGTGCATTGTCGCAAATTTAATGGAGACAGGTGTCATGCTGAAAAGTGTTTCTGCCCTGAAATTAGTTGATTTCATTCAGAAGAGTTATATTTGACAGATTATAGCTCACCTAGTACTTTTTACCTCTTAAAATACCTTTAAATGGCCAATACAACCCAAAAAATGCAGTAGGCCATTTCACTTGCCAGAAAGTGATTGAAGAGTCTGGGCAATACAGCTCCAGCAGACGGCAATCAGTTTTCGGCACGACACCGGAATGGGCCAACGGTGGTTATTGTTAAGAGGAAATTTACTCTCCAATTTATTTTTCAACGGTTTACGACGGTAAAAAAACCCCCACCAAAGTCACTTAACTTTCATTGCCGTTGTGGCTTTAACGTCACGTAATTAAATAATTAAGATTACAGATGTTTCCCTTTTAGTCGCGTTAAATCAAAATATTCACACCTCGCAACTGTGTACACATTCACATGCTGCATGTGCTCACCTGTTGAATTGAAGGCTATCCATTTCTGATCGCATTTTTCATTTAAATATTTCCAGATGATGCCCCCCAGAGTCGCACCGACACCTAAAACCACTGTTGTTGTAATCGGCTCAAACGCGTTTACCAGCACACAGGCTGACGAAAAAATATGCAACAACAAATACAAGTGTGCCACTTTCATCGTCGAAACCACTTAATTCCTGACATCAGTCGTTTTATGAGGTAAAAGAACAACAATACGACCGTGAACCCGCGCTATTACAGCAGGCTAACTAACGTTAGCTTCGTTACAACGGGGAACTTCCTTAGCTTACACGTCATACACCCGCGACACAAAGCTCTGTTCAACACAACATGATCAGACATGTTTTAACAATGTTGATTATAATAAAATAGATTGACAGTATTACAGTTAACCGTATACAATTTAGGTTCTTATTAAGATAACAGACGGTGTAACCGATGCACCCGCTCGGCTAACTTTAAAAAAAACAATCGCTGATAACAGCCAGTAAACAGCCGTTATTAAGTAAGAAAACATGACAAAACAATCAAATGTGGTGGCTTACTTTAGTTGTTAGCTGGATAAGTTCCCTCCTTTTGTTAGCTTACCTGTCCTGTTGAAAGAAATCCACTCGGGTCGACAGCACTCGTGGAAATAGTAGAGTATGTTCTGGTAGCTAGCTAGAAACCCGGTCAGAGCCGCAGCCATGCCGACCGCTATGCTGGTGCTGATGGGCTCGATCGCCTCCGTCATGCCGGAGCAGACGAGCATCCAGAGCAGCAGGACGTGTCGCTTCTTCGGCTTCATTTCGCATTTCATCAAACTTAAAGCTCAAAAATAAAAAAACACACACAGTGTGCCTGTTATGGGTGTGAGCGCGTGAAATTGTTTACTAACGTGGGCTGAGTCAACACAGCGGAGTCTGATGGGCGGGGCAGGCTGTGGTTTTCTTCTTCTTCTTTCTTTTTTTCCCGGCAGTCTCGGCACTGTTTTAGTGCATTACTGCCTCCCACCGGTATAGTATCGCCATACTTTGTTACCTAAGAGCTATATCTTGTGATATAGACCTGTGGGTTTAAGGAAGTTTATTAATTCCCTGTATCTCTCCTTTTGAATTCCCCTGTCACTTAGCAGTGTTCTGATGGAAAATATGCCTAATTCTATGAATAATTCCCTCCTTTGCTTGGCATAGAGTGGGCAGTGAATTAGTACATGTTGTATAGATTCCAAGATTCCACAGTGTTCACAGTTGCCATCTATATGCTTCCCCACTAGCATCAGTCCACTTGCTAGCCCGCAATGTCCCAGTCTTAGTCTTGTCGCTTTAACTTCATCCGTCCGAGGCATGGCCCCTTTATTTCTGAGCTGTACTGCAGGTTGAATGTTGTACAGCTTTCTCCCACTTTTGTTTGCATCCCATTCTTGTTGCCATAGAAGATTCAATCTCTCACTGAGGATGCTGCAGCATTCCATCCTACCCAGTGGCACCTGCACCTCTACACTATCCCTGCTCAAACTTGCCTTAGCTACCCGGTCTGCCACCTCATTACCCTTGACCCCAACATGTGCTGGAACCCAAAGAAAACCCACACTACACCCTTGCCTCTCCAGTTTAAAAATCATTAAAATTCATTCATTAAAATCTCCCCAATTATGTCTGGCCTAGCTCTACGACCCTCACCGCCACCCAATGCCATCAAGCAGATAAGGAATCTGTACATAGTATATCCTTGTCCAAGCCCCCTTCCTCCACCCACCACAGTGCCCACAATAATGCAACCAATTCTGCATTGAATATTGAAATCCTGTCAGTGATTCTTCTACACTGAGAGATTTGAACATGAGGAACATACAAGCCAAATCTCACTCTTTTACTTTCAGGGTCTCTTAACCCATCAGTATATACACTTCTATAGTACTTCCATCTATTCCTTAGGTGTTCCTCTGCATAAACTGCAGGATTTCCCATTTCACCGATCTGTATGGCCTCTTTAATAGACAAATCAATGTCAGCTTCTGGCCATAACCATCGAGGAACAGCTGGCCAGCATACCGACGGCCCTACCTCTATCCCACTCAAGCCCATCTTCTCTAAATAAAGATTTACTATTTGTATATAAGTGTCCCAATTAATCCTATCCCCCCCCTTTTCAATCTCTCAGCACTGCTCTAGCATGGAAAATGATGGAAGAGCTGTTCCAAATCCTTTTAATTTTGCCCAATAATTTAATACTAATTTTGTCCGTCGCAGTCTCAGTGTAGCCTCACCTGCCTCAACTAGCAACGCTGGAATCGGCGCTGTCCGGAATGCCCCAGTGCATATCCTCAGAGCCCTGGCACTGAACAACATCCACCTTAGCCAGTACAGACTTAGCTGCAGAACCAAATGCCAAACACCCGTAATCAAAGATTGTCCATATCATTTATAAAGCATCATTAACAAGTTCCTATCTGCCCCCCAAGAACACCCAGATAAGCACCTCATAATATTTATAACCTTCTCACACAGGGAACTATGTGCACTCTGTATGTCAGTTTTTCATCCAACCAAACTCCTAAAAACTTAAAAACCTTACCGCTTTCTAGAGGCTATACATTGATAGCCCCTGGGTACCCGTTTTCTTTTTTCTGCCAAAAATCACATCTTTTGTCTTTGATATAGACAAACTAAATCCCCACTTATCAGCCCAACCCTGCACCTTATCCAAGGCACTCTGCATCTGCTTCATCAAATACCCTATGTTACAGCCTCTCTTCCATATTGTTCTGTAATCTGCAAAAAGAGATCTACCAAATCCATCCCCCACTTTATCAAACATATCATTCACCATTATGTTAAACAAAATGGGGCTACTAACACTCCCCTGTGGGGTCCCAATGTCAACACTAACAGTGCCCGAAAGACTCCCCCCACTTTTACCTGTATGGTCCAGGATCTCAAAAAGTCTTTGATCCAATTTAACATCCTCCCTCGAATCCCTGCTTCATACAACTTGATTACTAAACCACCTTTCCACAACATGTCATATGCTTTCTCTATATCCAAGAACACACCAATCATCACCTCTTTGTTTACTGGAGCTCTTTTAACTTCTCTATCTAATAATAAAACTGAATCCATTGTTGCCCTACCTAGCCTAAATCCGTTTTGAAAGACCGAAAAGTACTTTCTCTGCTCTAGCCTATGCACCAGTCTATCTGTAACCATTCTTTCCATTATTTTTCATATAACTGCTGAAAGGGCTATTGGTCTAGAAGATCCCGGACAGTTGTTTCCGTCCCTATTGTCCCACAGAACCTGTGCCAACTTTCTTTCTTTCTTAGCCCCTTTTATAACCTTACTTGCCTCCGTTCGCAATTTCTTATACTGGATGACACTTTATTACAAGCCTGATCCCACCAAGGTACTATTTTCTTCCTTTCCCTATATCCCTTTACGGGAATTGACTTTTCAACTGCTCTTCTCACAATACCACAGAAAGACTCACTCCACTCGTCAACACTGCCCTCACTTAAAACTTATCCTAAACCTGACAACATCTGTTGACTAAAATTTATCCCAATTTGCTTTCTGAAAATTAAATTGTCTTCCAATGTTCTCCTTCTCTACCTGCAAGACTTTGCCAAACCTACTTAGTACAGGGAAATGATCACTACCCATAGACTATCAATCTATAAGATCCCAATTCCCACATCGAGCTAATTCTGCTGATGCAAAAGTTAAATCTATACAAGACAGTTTTCCATTTCCAACCTGAAATCTTGTTGACCTTCCATCATTCAGCATCACAAGTGAGTATTTGTCCAGGAAATATTCTATTAATGCTCTATTTTTATCCCTGTTTTTACTGCCCCATAAAGGATTATGTGCATTACAATCTCCTACCCACACCACCAGATACTGTACCTGTTCCATTATAGCATCTAATTTGTGCATTTCCAACTGAATACAAGGGTTGTAAAAATGAATCATTGAAAATCTCCTTGTTTTACTCCATACCTCTACCACCACACTCTCAAGATCAGTTTCTATATTTACTCTCCTGTATTGGATTTCTTTACTTATAAACACTGCACAGCCACCACCTGAAATATTTCGATCCTTTCTTAAACAAACATACCCTGGTATCACAAAACTCAGAGTTGGCTTTAGCCATGTCTCTTGTATACATATAAATTCTGTTTTATCTTTAAAAGCATCCACAAATCTCTTTAACTCTTGCCCATTTGCTATCAAACTCCTGGCATTCCACTGGAGGATAAAATCATATATCATCATCATCTTCCATTTGTTCTCCATTATTCTTTCCCCTTCTATCTCTTGAGAACACATATCTATAGAGAGTAGCTGGCTCAATCTCTACAACCCCAAGACTCCTCTCAGCAGCCTTCACCACACTTCTTACCACATCTGAGTTATTCTTATTCTGCTTCATGTCACACAAGGTGAGCAGAGAGTTGAGGAGGCTCCATCCAAGGAAAGCAGCGGGCCCAGACATAGAGTGTCAAAGGATGCTTAAAGCCTGTTCTGCTGAACTGGGGGAGCCACTCCAGCATGTCTTCAACCTGAGCCTGCAGCTGGGGAGGGTCCCAGTGCTCTGGAAGACTTCATGTTTCATCCCGGTTCCCAAGAAAAAACACCCTGACTTCAGACCGCTGACATCACACATCATGCACATTCGGATGCTGCTACATGTCCCCAGACCCCAGGCTCACCATGCACAAGATCCACTGCAGTTTGGATACCAGGAGAAGGTGGGCGTGGAGGATGCCATCCTCTATCTGCTCCACAGGGCCTACTCACATCTGGACAAGGAGAGCGGCGCTGTGAGAATGGCATCAGAGACAAGCTGAGCTGAGAGACAGAGATGAGGGTGGACCCACTCTTGGTTACATGGATTACGGACTACCTCACAGAGAGACCACAGTAGTTCAGACTGAAGGGCTACACGTCAGACACTGTGGTCAGCAGCCCCGGAGCACCACAGGGGACTGTGCAGTCTCCTGTCCTCTTCACCTTGTACACATCTGACTTCCAGTATAACGCCGGGCTCTGCCACATGCGGAAATACTCAGACGATACTGTGATAGTTGGCTGTATCAAGGATGGAAAGGAGCGGGAGTACAGGAGCCTGGTAGAGGACTTTGTGAGGTGGTGCAGGACCAACCATCTGCAGCTGAACACCTCCAAGACCAAGGAGATAATGGTGGAGTTCAGAAAGAAGAAACCAGTCTCAGGGGCATCCTTGCACAGTCTGCACCTGGGGTCCTGCCTGGTGTGGTAGACCCCTGCCTCTATTGATCTTGTACTGATTGCCTGTTCCCTGTGCTGCTATGATTAGTGCTTCTGTGCTGTTCTTTAGTCCAGCCTTTTCCAGCCACTGGTAGGATTTCTTGATATCAGCCACTTCTTGTCTCTCTATGAAGGATGAAAAAAAATGGCCGATGGAGGCGACTGATATATATATATACACATATATATTTATAACTTTATAAATAAATAAAGTTTTACTTAAAATATTTCTCAAAGTTACTTACACATACACATACCTGGGGTCTCATTTATAAAACTGTGTGTAGAAACCTCACTAAATCAGAATCAGAATCAGCTAGACAAACATACAGCAATCAGCTGCAATCTTTCCTGTACGCCTCAGAGTCCTCGAGGGGTACAGGTCCAGGAGAGAATGAAGATTGCAGCCAATCACCCTCTCTGCAGAGTGAATGATAAGCTGCAGCCTGCACTTGTCCCTGGCAGTGGCAGCAGCGTACCAGATGGTGATGGAGAAGGTGAGGATGGACTCAATGATGGCGGTGTAGAAGTGCGCCATCATTGACTTTGGTAGACTGAACTTCTTCAGCTGGCACAGGAAGTACAACCTCTGCTGGGCCTTTTTGGTGATGGAGGTGATGTTCAGCTCCCACTTTAGGTCCTGGGACATGATGGTGACCAGGAAGCGGAAGGAGTCCACAGTGGCAATGGGGGAGTCACACAGGATGATGGGGGAGGTTGGGGCTGGCTCTTTCTGAAGTCCACGACCATCTCCACTGTCTTCAGGGTATTGAGCTCCAGACTGTTCTGGCTGCACCAGGCAGGCCTATTCATTTCAAACCGTTTCATCCTCCTGCCATGTGAGTCGCCATTTCTCATTTCTCCTCTTTATGTGCGTACGCATGGTTCAGAGTTTACTTACAGGACCGCACATTCGCCCATCATGTTTGTTTTTTATAGATCACAACCTTTGCTTAGGAAGTGGAATATGCATGTTTCCAGCCCTGTTTTGTACGTGTGCACCATTTTTAAATGAGACCCCTGAACAGTACTTTCTCATCCCTCCTCCATCTTGCAGCATCACATTTCATCCCTGCAACTGGTACCTGGAAGCAATTTAAGAGTGAGATAGAGACACCACAATGAAGAAATATTGAACAATCACTGGCATGGGGCTCTGGACAAAGCATTTGCAACAATGTTACCTATGCCTTTTACATGATGTATATCCAAGTTATACTGGAGGAATAAAGACCACATAACAAGTCTTTAATTTGGACAACGCAGGGGGTTCAAAAATGTTAAGGGATTGTGGTCTGTATAAATGATCACCGGACCTGAAACCTACATACACCTCAAAGTGTTGCAAGGACCAAATCAGAGTTAACGCTTCTCTCTCTATTACAGAATAATTCAACTGATGTTTGTTAAATTCTTTGGTACAGAGCTACACCCCCACCTGCCTCTACATGACTGGCATCAACCTGAAGTTTAAATGGTTTGTCACAGATTCGCCTTCACATTTTATGTATATATATATATATATATATATATATATATATATATATATATATATATGGCATAGTCATGAAGTGTCAGAAAGTGTGATGCAAATACTGTTGTCTCAGCTGCAGCTACAGTTCTAAGTCATCTAGATAGTCCTTCAGCCACAAAGTCAAGTTTGATCTTTGTCTTTCTGTATGGTCTTGCAGTCAAAACAGATGTCATGGAAAAGTTTTTTTTTTCATCGATAGTCTATGTAAAGGCCTGGTCAGGCTTTATAGATGGGCTTTGTATGCAGCGCTGTTTTCTTGTTTAAGTCAGGGAATTATCTGTCAGCTTCCTCTGGCCAAATCATTTCAGTCTTGGCTGCTAGTTAGGCCTTCTCCATAAGTCACTGCAGCTTATGGTGCCTAAATTTTGCATAATTTTGGATCCTTTGTTTACAAAACAAATTAATTTCTCTATACCTGTTTTTTGGTTGTTTTGGAACCTTGGCATAGAGGGATTTGCCTTCAAGTGATCACATGTCCCAAAGAGTTCACTTGTTCTGAAACCCATTGCAATTTAGTCACACTAATAATAATAATCTTATTTGTAGAGCACTTTTCAAAAACAAGTTTCAAAGTGCTTTAACAAGTGTAAAGACAAACACTATCCTTGTGACCGTTAATTGACAAATGTTGCAACAATATTAACATCTTTATTTCGCAGGCCTGCCCTGATGATAAAAGCTCATCACATTATAAACAAAAAGAAGAATGGCACATGCAAGCTAAACTTTCCAGGTTTCCAGTCAGTCAGAATTGAAGAAGTCCCTTGGATGAGAGACGAAACATCTTCCAGTATCTTCAGCCAAGTCTATTCATATAGTTCATTGAATAAATAAAATAAAATAATTTTATTTCTATACATTTGATATAGAATAATATTATCTAATATTGTTAATTTCTCTACATTTTCTTTCATTATGGCTGTGTCTCCTTCTGGCAACAATAACAGAAGCCATCTCTGCACAACACTTGGCGGTTTGCACCTTCCTTTCAAACATATTAAATACAGAGGCTGTGAAATTGCTTTTAGGCTTGATAGATCACATTGTGTGCTAATTTGCTGGCCAGTTTGCACGTTTTTACTCACTGTTGGACCGTGACTTTAAATTACCCTTTTTAAACTATGTGTAGTTCTTGGTCCTGCGTGTTCTTTCATGAAGCAATAGGAGAAGATGTTTTTGGTCCAAGTTAATCAGTTTTATTACAAGTAAATGAATAAAGCTAATAGAGCTCTGGGTCGATCTTCCTTTCTCTGACAAACAACAAGCTGTATCAGTTCATGAAGTCTGACTGGCTATCTCTCCCTGACCCAGTGTTTTAGTATACATCATCATGTCATAAAACAATAAAACAAAAGTGTAGGTCAGTCCATGATTGGCCCAAATCCTCTGACCCCAATGTTTGTCCTCTGACTCCACGAATCGCCATGCTGTTGCTTGGCAGATTATGAGCGTAGTTCCTGAAATGAGATATCTTGGAGAAGAGATGTTTGTACCACATTCCAAACTACCCCTCACCCATTGTGAGGGGTGTCCTTATCTGATCATGCAGTGACCCCCTGTTCTGCACCTCTCCAAAAAACACACACATCAGGTCTAGTTTAATACATGATAAACCAACATATAAACTTCTACCTATAAAATACATCAGAGATCAATATAAGAAAACACAATAATTTTGGTTACCCTGAGTAATACAAAAATCATGCTATCATAATCCCTCATCACGCAAACCTTTAGTAAATCAGGCCCTATGAGCGGGCGGCTGGCCGGCTTCAGGAGCTCCTCCCGGTTGGTGCAGGCTTCCCCCGCCGCCACTTGTGGAACTCCTCGTCTCTCTTTTTGTTCCACCATCACTTTTCGTAAAACTGTCAATATTCGAAATCTACACAGTTGGTTTCTCACCTCAAAACTTTGCAGAAGTGGATTTAGTGATGAAATTACATGCAAAAACTGTTAAATATAAAACTTTCTGTTGCTGGCCTCTGTCTTGCGTACGCAATAATGACGCAGTGATTTGTGACAATTCTCTCTGACCAATCAATAGTCTGCCGTGTTTTCACCTCACAAATTAGTATCGCCTCAGCTCGCTTGGAACCTCGAAGGTGGTGATACGACAAAAAGTACCCGGAAGCAGGTGCAACTTTTCCACAATGAAAAACCAAACAAAAGCGAGGCGAGTCGAGGCGAGTCGAGCCTCTCTCTAGTTATCTCTAGTTAGTGCAATATCATATAAAAGTAACAGAAATGTGACAAATCCTGTCGTTGTCCCGCTCTGCTCCAGATAACAGTGACATGCGATTCAAGAACAAGACACATAAATAAGAGTCGGCCAACATCTTGATTCTGCAGGCCTCCTTCTTTCATACACTTCTTTCTCTTTATAGATTTGCCATACAGACACAATATTATGCATTAATGTTTGATGCAATCCAATATTTCCGTTTATGAATCACACAGCAGCCAATCATTTATTATTCTTAGAGACTCAGATAGTAAACCTCCTTATACACATAAACCTTCGACCAATCCCTGCACTGGACATATATGGCACACACATTTCATTAGCATACATACATTAGCAAAATAGGAAATGGGTGGTCACACCAAAATTGATTTGATTTAGATTTTTCTTCTGTTAACTCACTTTGTATTTTGTTAATTGATAAATACAATCTACTAATGTCTTTTTTGAAAGCATTCCTAATTTACCACACCTGTCTAAAACCTTTACTAGTACTGTGCAAAGATACAAGTACTGTGTGAAGGCTTCGTTTGCCTTCCTCTCCTCAGTCAAGGGCATTTTTCTTTGTTAACTAAGGGCGTACTCACACTAGGCCCGGTTGCCTTGTCCCATGCCTGAGAACAATTGTACCCCGGACCACTCCCCCAGCTGGCCTGCACTCACGTTGCACCTAAAGATCCAAGCTGGAGAATGTTTAAGTCATCACTCCATTGTTTCCCATACATTGATTTATTTGTGTGTTTTTTTACCAGGCCTATTTAAAATTGTATTTGACTGCAGAGCTACGTGCCGCATATATATTCACTCAGCACTTCGTCTCACTTGCTTGCTAGCTCCCGCTCTCTCTCTCTTTCTCTCTCTCTCTTTCTCATGAACACAGCTGCACAAATCTCACCAACACAACACTGTCAAAAAAGTTAATAGCAAGCATGAAATGAGCCTATCTAATAAGGATAGCTATGTTAATGTTAGATCACAGCTGGGTTGTCGAAGCAAATAGCTGGTAGTAAATATCGCACGGACAGCTTAACCGTGTTTGAGCCCACCTCTTCGAGCGGGCCCGGGCACAGTTCAGCACAGTGATCACACTGGTTAAACGAACCACACTGTGGGGGTTAAATGTGCTCGGGCAAGGTATGGATTGCCAAGTGTGAGTACCCCCTAAATAAATATTAACTATAAATATTAACCTTGTGCATCCTGCAGAGGCTTACATTCGAAGTAGTAGTCCAATTTGCTCTCTATTGTCTTGCAGCCTTTGGCAGAGAAAACGCTCTCAGGTTTGGGGACATAAACTAAATCTTCGACCATCTTGTCGGCCACATTCTGGTCTGGTGGACATCCTCTGGCTCTCATCGCGGCCTTGATACACTGGATAACGTGCCGTTTCTCCAGAGGCAGAAACGGGACAAAGAAGTCCACCAGGTTCTTGTAAATTAAATCTGAATTCCACAAGCCACCTACAGGAGGAGATTCAGAGAGCTAATTATTTTGTTTTTCATAAAATTTATTTTTGTGTAAGACTAGGACTAAAAGAAGTAGTCTACTAACCATTTTTAAATGCAGATTCAGAGATAGATGTTTCCAGGTCTTTCAGCTCAATCTCTTCTCGACCTCGTTGTGCTTTCCAGAAGTCAAAAGCTGTCTGTTTGATGAGCTCTCCTCCACCATTGCTAGGAGGAAGATGAACTTTCTTAACATCTAAAGTGCCTAAAACCTCTGCAGGGTACTGTAGCCAATAAATAGTAACAAGAAAAGTTATAGTGGCCATACTTCATCCTTTTACCTAAGGAAGATGAAGATGGCCTTACGAAAAGAAACTCCATCCAGATTGTTGTGGTACTCCAGGAACGGCTTTATGCTGTCAATCAATCCAGGATGCATCTTGTCCATCTCATCAAAGATGAATATGGAGCGTGCACAGTTGGTGACACTGTCTTTGATTCGCTGCTGTAACTGAGACTGAGGACAAACATCAGTATATTTAATTAATTTAGGAGGCAAAACAGATGAAGGAACTGTGTTTGAATTGTGTCTACTTATTATCATACCTTGTAGGTCTTAATTTCACTTTTATGTGGGAAGTGGTAACTAGAGATGAAAATATGAACAAAGCTGCTGTCCATTCCCTTCTTATAAATGTTTTCAGCAATCAGCTTGCTAACATAGTTCTTCCCTGTGCCCGTCCATCCGTGCAGAGACAACACCAGAGGCTTTTTCGGGTTGTCGTTGCTCATGAATCCACTCACAGCTTTCAGGACGATGCGTGAGGCAATGTGCTGTCCGAACAGATTGCTTTCCAGGTCAGCCTGGAGACCTGGAGAGTGCAGAACAAAAAGTCAACAGGACTATTGAAACCTTTCTCAGCATTGCCGTCAGGAAATTCTTTAGCTGAGGTGGCCACCAAAATCTCGTCTCATCTGGCATCATGATCCATTTTGTTATAAGATGACAGCTTAAAAAAAGAGCCACAGTCATTAAATAGCTATATCAAATCAACCTTAATTTGTATAGCGAAAGTGTTTTACAGGTGACCAATACTAGCTGATTATAAGACCAGAAAAGTAAAGTATTTATGATACATGTGTTTAAAATATGTATTACAAATACAAAATAGGATTTTTTTTCATTTGTTTTTGATAGGGTTGATGAAAATGCCTTCATATTAGTTTCAAGATATTCTGTAAAATACTTTGTGAAAAGTTGTGTGGTGAAAAACTGATTCATACCTTCTCAGTAATTTGCTCAGACTTGCATTATTAACGGCCAGCAAAGGGAGACTCTAGTGGTTGCAAAGCTTCCATTAGAAATAATGGTTAAACAACCCTACTTCTCACCTGATTTATTCCCTAAGAAAACACTTTTCTAGTGAGTTTATTGTCTCAGTCATTAGTTTCAATACAACATGTTTACTTAGTGAATTATGATCCCATTTAGAGGAAAATAGAAGACAAAACAGGGTATGCTTTAGGGCGGGACTACCTTGTGCTTGGGGTGGTGATGGCGCATAGATAAGATGCTTGCCTTTGGTGTGGGAGGCCATTTAACCCCTAGTTGCTCCAGAGGCGTGTGACCTCTGACATGTATAGTAATTGTAAGTCGCTTTCGATTAAAGCGTCAGCTAAATGAATAAATGTAATGATTGTCAGACAAGTTGTTACCATGGTGACCTGTCAATCAGGCTAGAGGAGACTTGCACTGTGTAAATTTAACCAGCTCTGTTGAACAAGCTTTTTAAGAGTATGTACCGCTGTGTTGATGTGTGTTAGTTATGCATGTGACCAGTCGCGTGTGATGACAGAGATCAAACCATCAAGTTAAAATAAGAAGGGAGGGTCAACCTCAATTTGACAAAACCCTGGATGTCATATTTGGTGCACCTCGAGTGGCGGCACAGCAGGAGAGAGTGAGTTGTGCAGATTCTCGTGCTATTAAAAAAGCTTTCTATATGGGTGATTCTCAACAAATTTTAATGTTAAAGTACACAATTTTTACTTCAATGTTCACTTAATTGTTTTCAAATATTAGTTTTAAAAAGTATTTTTTATTTATTTGTTTTATTATAAACTTCATTACCGTAACGTGTCCGAACAAAACTTTTGTATTTTGCTCTCTTACAGCACAACAAATAATATATTAAATATATTAAAAAACATTGAAAAATTGTCTCTATTAAAATAATATTAATTTCCAATAGCAATTTTGATACATTTCTAAAACATTATTTCCATATATGGCCGTAACACATTTTCACATCTCTCAAAACGACTGGATATATTTATAAATAAAGTGTTATTGAAAGACACAGAAGATTCAAGATGGCTACAAGGCAAGATCATCTGTTAACATCTGATAGCTAAAGTCTCTACTTTTGCTGTCTTACTCCCCTCTTACCCCACCATGGGTGTACATTACCTTAACAATGTAGTATTTAATATTTCACAAACAAATATTCATTTTGAACATAACAATACGAAGGATAGTGTGGGAATGTAGTGATGGAGTATTATTTTTTGCTAAGTCATTGTGTTTCCCGCCATTTTATGCTAGCTAAGCTAAAGTGCATTCATTGCCGTAACACCAATCTTTCATTACCGTGCCATTTGTTGCCTGTTACGGTAATGAATTATGATGTTACAGTGATTAATATCAGAATAGTTTTCTATTGCTTGTTAGATATTTTTGTTTTAGATCAGAAGGGCTGAGCAAAAAAACAATATTAATTATAATAATTATTGCAAAATGACTTCCCTCAATAACAATATAACAAATGTTTAATATATTGTCAATAAATGTTTGATTATGATTATTTAAAAAAAACAAAAAAACAATGTGCATTAGAAACTAGGGGTGGGAATCTCTGGGCACCTCACAATTCATTTCAATTACAATTCAGAGGGCTGAAATTCGATTATAAAATGATTATCGATGCATCTTTTTTTTTCTATACATACAGGATCTCTAGAAAATGACTAAGCATTTAATTTGCGCATTAAAATCCAAAAGAAACATCTCCTAATTAGCTTAAAAGGACTAGTTTGCATCCCTAATTTACTTCATTAACCTCAGCTCCATGGTCCCTCATTTCTTTAACAACCAGTTGTCAGACTCCTCTGAAAACTGAAATATAATTATCAGGATTTCCAGTCTGTGTACAGGACAGAGCTGTACACCAGTTTAGTCTACGCTTGTACCTGATGTTCTCAACCCTTGACAAGTAATTTAGCAATGACATAAAGCTGAGCTAATTAATATTACTTTGTTACTAATTTAGCTAACGTTACATAACAGCCAAAAAACGTGCTGCCCAGGGGAGATGTTAGCTAGTGCTAACTGCCGTCACTTTTCCAGCAGTTGGGGAAACTACAGCCTTTTTTAACTGGCACATTGTGAACTTCATTGCACGTTTACTGCCAGACTGAAACTTACTGCAAGTATTTTTCTCCGCTAACTTTCCTCGTCACATTATGCCGCTCGCTCTCTCATTCGCTCGGGCTCAGAAACAGGATACAGGAGAGCTCGCTTGCACCGTTGACCAATTAAGGATTGTAGTACTGTGACGAGTGTGTGTATGTAATTTCTCTAATCTTAAGCGGCAAACTCCGGGTATGAAAAGTGAAGCCATGCAAAAGTAACCTAAACCTGCATTCTTTGTAATGGCCAGCAGGGAGCGTCTCCACTGGTTGCTAAAAGAAGTACGGTTGTAATAACGGTAAAATTACCCTACTTCTGACTTTACTTTCTACCTCAGTAAACACTTTCCTAATGAGTTTGTGGTACATTTGCACCTCCCGTCCAGACTAAATGGCCAATCTGAACACCTAAAACAGAGAAGTTTGAAAAAGCTGCGACCCCGTTTTCGTTCTCGCTAAACTACGCTAAACTCCAGCTTAGCGTATTATAAATGATAAAAAAATACTTTGAAAACGATGACACAGACTCTTACATTAGGCTTTCTGATTGGGTATTATCAGTCATGCAAAGCAAAAACACGATGCTACTGAAAGTGTTTTTGTTTTGGTGTTTATATTAAAGTATCGTGTACAGTGCAAATAAAACTTAGGCTATATACTTGTACTGTGCATGTTGCCGTATTTGCTCTGCGAAGACTCCCAGTCTATTTTCCGCCACCAAAATACTTGGGACTCCCTGTTACTTTCAGTAATAGTTCCACCTTGTTGTAGGCCCATGCAAAACTGCGAATACTCATACTGCACAACTGCGGAGTACACAATCTGCTTTCTGTTTACGCTAATGTTTGATGTTAAATTCTTTTTCACTATTGACATAGTGTAGGGCTGGGCAATAAAACAATGATAATTGTCGCAATATAATTTTCCTCAATAACAACATAATAAATGTTCAATATATCGTCAATAAATATTTGGTTTAATTAATTTGAACCACAAAGAAATTAGCACTTACTTTTTCTATTAAAATATTTGTTTTGTTTAGAAATGCATATGTGTTGAAAAAGATTTTGTCACAATAGTTTTGCATGGTCTGCCTCAGATTTGTTAAGTGATCCACTGTTTGGCACATACTGAACATAAAGAAACATTTCACCGATTTTCACTCAGGGGCAAAAATCAGCCTTTAAACTTGAAAGAAATAATGATTTGACATTTATCGTGATAATTATCGATATCGAATGATATGAAATGTTTTTATCTTGATATCATTTTTGGCCATATCGCCCAGCCCTAGCATAGTGTTAGTGTTTATAATATTTGTATCTCTGAAGGTATCAAAAACTAAGAGAGTGGTGTATTGAAGTAAGCCAAGACATGACACCCAAACAAAGAAAAAAAAACAATTAAAAAATTGGAGAGTAAATTCTAACAGGTCTAATGCTAAAAGAAGAAAAATCGTTCCAATTATGAGCTAACAAATCTTTGTGCAAAATGCTAAAAACATGAAGTCATGTCATATCTTAGGTTTACAATGGTTGTTTGGTGTCAATCGGCCTTTAGGTGGCGTTATTAATCGTATATAAAATAACGCTCCCATAGACATCCATTCATCTCCGTAACGCCAAGTCCCTTTCATTTCAAACTCTGGTCGATTACTCTCCACAGGGCGCCTGGGCCGACTCACAATACACCTTGTAAGCGGAGGTCTGAGATCTACTGAATGCATTTTCTAGTTTTCTATTTAGTCAAATTAGATTGTAAAATGATTGAATGAATGGTAATTGATGAGAACAGGCTCTATAGTAGATTGGATAATTAGGGCCTGGGCACAAAATGTGCATGTGCGAAATTTCTGCAGTACGTGTATCATGTCCAAATGTACAAAAAAGCCTCTTGGAGCGATGGCAGAGACCCAACAGGAAGCCGTTTTGGATTTAATGGTCATTTTTGGCGATTTACACACTTTGTACTTTAACAACCTTCTCCTAGGGAGTTAGTCAGATCGACAGATTTTCGCTTTGCTGTCTACACCCATTGACAATTAAAAGTTGTACGGTTATTACCAGTCGACCGGTTTGCCCGAGGTGTGTCGTCGAAAACTGATGAAACAGTAAGTTCAAATCTGCACCAAATTTGATATGCATAATAAGAGTCCTGCCCTGAACACATCCACATGCCAATATTCACTCAAAGTCAAAGCGCCACCTGCTGGCAACAGGAAGTAACTTTTACGAAATGATATGTCCAAGCCTACCAGGTTGGACATATCAACTTCAAAACAGTCCCAGAAAACCCTTTACACATGGATGAAGTTACGTTGTGAAACTTGTGAGTTTGCAGTTATTGATGTGGCGGTGAAGTTAAACTCTTCGCCATGACAGTTGTTGTAACTTGACTGTACATG